TGTATATTTTCAGACAACAACATGTAGACTCATTATGTTTCAAAGAAAGCATTAAAGCAGCATTGGGAAAGCTGATATTTTTAGCAGTTCATCTTGAAACCTGCTATATATTGCCAGAAAAAGCTCCAGGAGGCCTCTACAGAAAGATGAAAAAATGGAAAACAAAACAAAATACTATAGAAAATCTGTTCAAGTAATTTGTGTGCAAAGTAATTTTTCAGATGAACACAGCATAAAATAACAAATACCCTAGCATGTGCCTCCAGATTCATGAAAAATGGGGCTTATTCAGCCTAGAGGAGAGAAGGCTCAGGGGAGACCTTAAAGCAGCTTCCAGTACCTAAAGGGGACTCACAAGAAACCTGGAGAGGGGTTTTTGTAAGAGCCAGTAGTGACAGGACAAGGGGGAATGGCTTTAAACTGAAAGAGGGGAGATTTAGATTATATATTAGGGAGAAATTTTTCACTGTAAGGGTGGTGTTTTCACTGTGAGGGTGTGGGGCGCTGGGCACAGGTTGCTCAGAGAAGCTGTGACTGCCCCATCCCTGGCAGTGTTCAAGGCCAGGTTGGACAGAGCTTGGAGCAACCTGGTCTAGTGGAAGGTGTCCCTGCCCATGGCAGGGGGTTGGAACTGGATGAGCTTTAAGGTCCCTTCCAACCCAAGCAAGTCTGTGATACGATATGATTTAACCCTTTTCTTAATAGTTTTGAGAATCTGCTGGAATAATTTGTGTTTATGACAGAGGTCTGTGGCTTCTGACTGCACGAAAGGTGTTGATCCAGCTGAACAGATCACATCAGTAAACACAGAGCCATTCTTTTTGTGATTCTGAGTTAACAGTTTTTTCTCTGAGCATAGCTGGGGGTGAGGAGGAAGCGTTGATTTGGGCAAGTATAAATAGTGGTTTCTGTCTTCTGATATAAATAGGTTGGAAAAAAAAACCCTTTTGTTTCAAAACAAGCAGTTAACTTAAGAGCTGGGCTCTTTTGTGGTTTTAGTTGGAGTTTTTTTGCTTCACACATCTTTCCCTCCCCCTCAAATGTTATCTTTCCATGCAAATCCTAGGATGCTAAGTCAGTTATAGTAAAATGTAAGTGCTATGCTGAATTGAAATCTGTTTGCCAGCTGGATCGCACAAGCAGAAAACTTGTAAGGCTACTAGAGCTGATGAATCAAAACAACAACTCCAGTACTGGCCCACAGCATTTGCACAAAAGACAGGGCCTTGTTTACTGACAAAAGAAAAAAAATCTGAGCCTTCTGCTTTTTAAAATGTATGACTAATACAACAGGCAATTAACACTGCAATCTGAGGAAATCAATTCATTTTTTAAGAGCTGAATCTCAGAGTGGGAATTTCTCCCCTATTACCAAGGAGTGAGTTACATTTTGTATTTATAGCCCAAGTCCTTAGTAAAACCAAGCCCAGCTAGGTATGAGAGCTGTCGAGTGACCTGGTAGAGAACCCTTGCCATTTTGCTGCTGGCTTATCTCCACATGACTGGGATGGTTTGGTAGGCTAAACCTTGATCTCAAATCTGGAAAGAGCTGTCAAAACTTTGCCTACATCCTTAGGAAGTATTGGACATTGCCCTCCTTCCATTCCTAAGTGATGCCTAGAACAAGTCTGTATCTCATCTGCAGCCTATATAGCCTGCAGTGACCACGTACCATGAATCTATACATCTGTGAAATGAAGCAAAAGTCCCCTGTTAACATTGCTGGTCCTTACAAGCCCAGAAGCACACATTCAAGCTCTGGAAGGTGCATCAGACACCCCTGTAGTCCCCAGACATGGGGCTGCACTTGCAGCATGACAGTAGATCCTGGGAAGTGCTGAGCAATCCCTCTTTCTTACGCAAAATACCCAAGCATGTGGTTTGGTTTCAGGCATACTGGTGAGACAGTAGCAGGTCAGATGTTGACTGTGTCAGCTGAGGGTACAAAGCTTCAAAGACTACATCTAGACTTTAGAGAAACAAAAGGATGGTATGAGGGTTCCCCAAGTCCCAGGGCTTTCCACTAAGTTGAACCACCTGGAATCCTTACTATCACCTTTGCTTTATGAACTGCGGACAAATAAGGCCTGTTAACAGAGCAAACAGAATCTGTTAATAGGACCCTTGGGTAACACTGGTTTGTCAGCTTACAAATGACCTTTCTAAAATACAAACAGGCAGGGAGCTGAGCTCTGACGTTTTTCTACATTTGGTAGAGAGGTGAAAGAAAGAAGGATGTAAAGGAGACTGGAGTGGAAAATCAAGCTGTTGGTATTTTTTAAAGGCATTATTTAGAGAGACATGCCACCTATGCCATCATCTTTGTACCAAGTGCAGAGCACTAGGATTACTTCACTGCATTCAGTATGACAGATGGTACTGATGGCTGTATGCTTTGTGTCAAGCTAGTTAAACCATTATTGACTCTAAGTGCCAGAAAAAAAAAAAATAAAAATCAATGCTCAAAATATGGTTTCGCTGGTATAACAGCAAGTATTTGAGGTGTTTCTGCTAGCACAACTGTGCTGGTCACAACATTCAGATGTCCCTGAATAATATATCCATGCTGCGTGTGCAAATGGGCAAGCCTGCCACCAGTCTTAACTTTTGCCCAGAACCTGCCACCCACAAGTCATAGGCAAATACAAAACATTTCAGTCTGTTCCTGAAAGTACTATCAGATTTGCGTTACAGATAAATGGGAATAAAGAGACAGAGCCAAAAGGCACAGAGTAATTAGCCTTGTCTATGGTCATGGCAAGGGAGTGTCTGAAATTTTGGGGGTTTATGGGCCCTGACCCCTCCAACGAACTAATCACTAGGCAGTACCATAAAAATTAGTTTTACTTCTAACTGAAAAAATATCTGTATCTGCCAATAAATTCTTTGATTCCTGACCCATTCATTCCTATAGCCCCAGGTTTTTTTTCCTGACTAGCTCCTCTGTAACTGTTTCCCTTGAAATCCTAGGACAAATTCCAGCTTTTCTTCGAGTTTTCATTGATGGAATTGATCACACATTTAAAGAACAGAAGGCAAAAACAAAGACTGCAGCCAAGCAAACCAACCCCCAGATCTGGGGGGAATCTTGTTTCAAAACAGTGCTTGATATTTTTCCCCCCTGCATGCTGCAATACACTTATGAGTAATTACACAAATAGTTTTTAGTTTGCTATTCTCTTGCTCATTTGGTTATGATTCATCTCCTTGAAAGAACTTCAGTAGTTACCATAATTTCAGAGTTATGTGTATCTGGTCAATATCATGCAATTAATTGAAAGGAAAAGACAAAAACTGCAATGAAAATGGAAATCACTAGCCTCCTAGTTTGTGTGTGAGGAAGTTGTTTACTTCCCGTCTCTTCATTAGTGATGAAATACCAGTTAAACAACTGAAAACAGGTTTTTGTAAATTATTTCAGAAATATGCAATTGCAAATTAGCAGTAATACTTTATTTCTTTAATAATATTTTGTAAAGATTGATAGAAAGGAGGACTGCATATTGTATTAAATTTTCAGTCCCTCTCTGCACACACAGCATGGCATAGACAATCTGCAATAGTGGTGTATTTTTTTATTGCCAGCAAATGACCAGGCTGATGAACAAGACTAAATCTAATCTGTTAGTGCCCAGTTTTCCAAAAACACCTGACATTGTACAATCCTTTGAATTGGCTTTTTTCCCTTCTTAACCAAAGGGTTAATGGGAGAAGTTGATGGGGGAAATGAAAATAAAACTTTCATAGGCTTGTAAAGGGAGTCCCTTTGAACTAGTCCTGTTAAGTTAGTGGTGTCCAATCAACTGCAGAGATATGGATGTGACCTGTTCAGACTCCAGTGAGCAGTGTGGTAATGAAATAACACCACTGACCTGCCACGGCCCCTCTGGTTCAGGTTCCTTTAATCAACACAATTCATTTCTCCCTTGCTTGCTCGCTGTCAGTGGTAGCGGATGTAAATTGAACAGGGGTTGTGTGTGGCAGCTGCACTGTCCCCTCAAGATACTGCAATCTCTTATCAGGAATTCTACATCAGTAGTAAAATGTCAAGCACCTGTCTAAAAGTCTCAATTTCCTGCTTGATAACTGCAGTGATAGAAAAGATGGATCTTGTGAGCAGTCAGCCAGAGGTACTGCAACAACAGAAAATCAAATCGTCGTGAAGGGCTTAGAAACACATCACTCAATAACTCTTTCTTTGTACTTCTAGGAAAAGAAACATTTTCCGTCTGGCTGTTTAAAAATGTGTGCTTCGAAAGCATATATTGAACATGCTTAAGAAACAATGATTGAATAAAAACCCCCAAACCTTACAGAGATATAAGCTCTTATGTAACAATGCAGCAGTGTCCAGCCAGAGAATGAACAAATTTATGGAGAAGAATGAGTTACTTTTATAGCATTAATTAAATCAAATTATATTAACCTATGTAGCACTACTCCTCCTCTTCCTTTCCCACCAACCCCCATTTACTGAGAAACACGTTTTTCTCGATCAGAGACTTGACTTTGTCTTCATTTTTGTATTAACAACCCAGGAAATAACCTAAGCATTATTATATTTTCGCATTGCTGTGACTAAAGTGTCCTTGTCTGAGCTTAGTTTAGAAATCAGCATAGTAAGGAACATGTAGATGCATCTGTTAAAAAACAAGTAGAGAAATAGATGTCACATCTATATTGTTTTAGTACCACTGAAGATACCATTTTCTCTATAAAAAACAGGGGCTTTAAAAATGCTTCTTAGTTGGATTAAACCCATTTCTAGAATAAAAGCACCCCCCAAAAACCTTCCTATCAGTAAGGTAACTTTTTAATCACAAAGAGTAATTATTAATTAAAACCAAAAAGGTTAAGTGCTTTTCAAAGCAAAGTGCAAAAGGCATACGTGTATCTCTCTGCAATTAGAAGAAAGTGGCCTATTTATTTAGGAACATAAGAAAAGAAGAAACACTCCAAAGGGAGAGTAAAGCTGCACTCTATTTCCTACACAGGACACACTGGATGTACAGTGCTGCCGTGTTGGCCATCTGAATGCTGTTCTTATCTATTCTGTCCTTCGACAGTGAAGAGAATGATAAACCATAGTAACCTTCCACCTTCTGTGGGAGGATTAAAGAGCATCTGTAGTGCTAAGGCCCTGCTTCCCAGCTGTGATCAACCTGAAAATCACATTGTCTATCTGAGGTACCTATGAGTAGTCTGTATTGGACCAGACTTTGAAACAGTCCCTCTTACCTGAGCGCAGCTGCCACCAAAATAAACAGCCTACAAGGGAAGCATCAAATTACAAAATCTTTGTATATACAGAAATCACAAGAAAACTCTATCTCACAGATAGAGAAAGAAAGCTTTAAAACAACCTAATAAAAATTCCTTTGTGTTTACAGTTGGCTACAACATGCAGGGAAACACCTTGAACTCAGCAGAGTTCAGGCGCTGGATCTGTGACAAGCGCCATGAAATTTCTCCTTGTAGGACAGAGAACAGGTTCTTGTAACTGAAAAGGAGAAACTATGGGGGTTTTGGTAGGGGAAAGCACATACAGCTCTTTTCCTGAGGTTGGTGATTTAGTTCTGGGTAGAGGCCCTGTGTCACCCATGCAACGCTGAGCTGGGACAGAGTGGCATCCTCCTGGTGCTGCCAGGAGGATGTCTGTGAGGGATGCTGATTCTGCCAGCACCCTGATAAGATAAGCAGGTTCATTCTCAGCACAGGTGGCATAAGGCTTTTTTGCAACTTTCTTTATTCTGTTCCAGGAAACATCTGCAAGGAACCCTTACCTCATATTTTCCTTTCTTCTCCAAGGGCTCAGATTCACCCTCTTCAGGCACTGCAACTTTGTCCCCTAGAAGCTCCTCTAAGATGAAGACAGTTTCCCAGTTGCTATAGTGACGAGCTGGGAAAATATCTGAGTGCATGCTGTCACCAAAATAAACAACCTACAAGGGAAGCAGCAAATTAAAAGTCCGTTGTATCTGAGGAAAACACAAGCAAACTGTATTTTACAGAGAAAGAAAAACAGCTTCAAAACAACATAATAAAAATTCCTCTGTGTTTACAGTTGGTAATGACACACACAGATCTTAATGTCACAGCTTGGGGCTTTATCTTCAAATCTATAAGGAAAAGGCTGGCCCTCATGCTCTCCTCTCTCTCACCCTCCAGGGGCATTGGACAGGGATGCCCGGCTGGGACTGGCACAGGGGACACCACTGAGTTTTTTGGCTGACAAAAATAGCCTGCCAAGAAGCAGTGGAAAAAACTACCAAGAAAATACAGTCCACAAGAACAACTCTGGAAACAAGGGAAAACATAGAGCATTTGTTGGTGAATGACAACTCTTCTGTGCCCACTAGGGTTTACCCACTAGGGAAAATGTGGTCCCACATTTCAGTGGGCATTTTCACTCATCCAGACCTGTAGTTTAAATAACATGATCCCAGTTTTCACTGATGTCACCTTTTAATTTATTTATTTCCACAGGGAGATTGTTTTTTTCCTGTTTACAGTCTGATTCACCCCAAAGCTGCTGAAATGCATGACCATGCACACAGGATAAAACATCTAGGAATTTTACATATTCTAATGATAAGAAGACTAATATGCTACTTCCAGTTCTGGACTGCAGTCTGTTAAACAAGAGTTAAGTGTAACCAGAATGAAAATTGGTATTTTCAGGAAGTTTTACTCTCACTTATAATGTACCTTGGGATCCAACTTGCCAGTCATCTTCTTCAGTAGTTCATAAAGCTGGATAGCATTACCTTGGGAATACCAGCCGGGGTTGTCCAGTGATAGCAGAGCCTCCTGCTCCTCGTCATTCTCTGAAATCGCCAAACAAAACCGCTCACTCTTAGTGAAAGCAGTCCATACTTCTGTGTTAGTGACACATGTGAGAAGCTGCTGCACACAGCTTGGAGATCACAGTCTACTTTGACATTATATTAGCTCCACTGTACGGCTCTTGACTGATGGTTCAGTCAACGTGTTAGGTAGCTGGCAGTAGGCAGACATTTGTGAGAAAAGAAGCAGCCAAGGCTTTTCTGCAAGGGATACAGGAAAGCTGAGGAATCAGTCATAGGCTTTGCCTCTGAAACACAGCAGCAGTAAAGGCAGGAAACCCCATGGACCAGACTGATGGAGAAGACGCTACAGACGTAATGCGAAAGCATGAGATAAGTCAGTCTGTAAGAGACAGCATGTACCTTTCCCCACACACAAATGACCTACCACTTTCAAACACTGGCATAAATGCAACAAAACAGACTGAGGTATGGGTATTTGCCAGCCTTAGATCAGCACAATCAATGAGCAATTCCAGTTATCATCCAGTTTTGAAGAAATAATAAGGGGACAATATTGCTGCTGATTGTGCCGTCCACACTGGCACATATCCGCACTGGTATCTGTGAATTGGAAAAATCAGCAGAATCCGAAAACTCCCTGGACATCCCCTAGCTGTGCAACAGACTTTTTGTCTAGCTGGTCCCAAAGCAGCTGGATCTGTCTTGGTGTCCATGTAACCTTATTGTTCATTCAGATCCATGTGCTACTGCCCAATGAACTCTTTTTAGCTTTTTGCTGAAGCCAAAATACTAGACTTAGTGAACTGATAAACTACAATTTCGTCATAAATATTAATAATAATGTCTTCTGTCTACTGAAATTGTTAAACGAAAGGGTGATTTTGTTATTCAGTCTCAACCAAATGTCCTATTTTTTATGCTAGAAACAGAGGGGTAGAAGTCAATACAGTACTTTGATCTGACTTAGGTGTAACATCAGGACTTCAGATTTTCTCCTGCTTTATAGAATTTTTCAAAGTACTTTAAATCTGTTAGGAAGAAGACTAAGACAAAACAATTTTCATTTGGTTAGAGACTGCTGAAAGCTGGAATGCAAATTCTGGAGAACAGTGAAATGAAAAGAGAGCTTTATGTTTAAAGAGCACTGAAGATGTACATGATGCAGTACATTGGTTCTTGAAAGAAGGAAGAAGTGAAATGTGGGAAATAGGTATGTGGAGAGACACAATAAATAATTCTTTAGTATTACGAATCTAAGAATTTGAATAAACACAGGATTTATTCTCACACAATACGACTCTGTTAACAGCATTTTATAAATCAGGAAAAAACCAAGGAAATTCAAAGTTGATACTAACAATTCATGTAGAACTTGTGTGGAAATGTCTTTTCCTTTGTTCTGCTTCAGAAAGTTAATGATAATAATAAGTATGATAACATCCATTAAAAAAAATCTTAAATTCAGAAATCCCAACTTCCTGACTTTTCAAATAATTTTGACCAAACAACTTTTGATGAAACAGAATTTGTCAAACTTCAGCAGATTTATTTTCCTTGTATTTTCAGACATATTTTTAAGGCTGGCTGAACAAGTAGACACAATCTTCAAGCGATATGGACGCAGAAACACATGAAAACAACTCATTTGAGCTGCTATCAAAAGTTTCTTGTGAAGGTTTGTATAGCTATCATTGTCTCTCCATTCAATCAGGAAAACACTAGAGAAAAATGGAGCTATTATGAGAGGGATTTTCAGAATCAAACCACTGCATTTACAAATAGGAGCCTTAAGTATTACAGCAACAGCAGAAGGCTCCAGCCAAGAGCAAGACCCTATTTTGCTACTTCTATGGAAAGGCATGCGGGGCCATCCTGATGGAAAAAAAATCGCTCTAATTACACGGTAGAAGATCTGTCACTCTGTGAGATCTATTACTGCCACCCTTCATCTCAACTCGATGCATCTGGAATTTAGGCTTCTAATTTACAGTTACAATCTGAACTAATTGACCAGGAACCTTCTGTAGGCAGAAGAGACCACAAACAACACTTTCTAGAGGTGCCAGCTCTCGAGAAGGAAAGGATTTAATTAAGTTAGGAAATGCTTTATAGGCAGGGAAATTTCAAAGCCTTGTTTCCTTCCCTATGCTTGGAAGCACCAAACAACACTGAGATGTCTAATTCATTATGGGAACAACTTGATTTTGGAAGGAGCTTCAGAAATCTGAGGAATCAGGAAAGGTTCTTTATAATATTTGAGTTGTAGGGTCATAGGGATAATGACTGCACTGGCAAACCTTGCCTCGAATCGTCTCATATGGCTGTGCTCACAGATCTAGGGGTGACTTGTCAGTTTTATCTCTATAACCTGAAGTTGGAGGAAATGAATGCTGTTTCAGTTGCAGTAAGTCATTAATGAGAACAGTTTCTAATCCAGTTACACTTTCTCACTGGCAAAATATAGTAAGAAAATTATTCTTCAGCACTGGCTCTTAAGGCCTCTTGTAGCAGTTCTGCCATGTAAAAATTGATATGCAACAACTTAAAAATCCATTAATGGCACCACTGGCTCTGGCTTTGTATTGTATCTATCAGATAGCAGCCATGTGACAGTGCTGAAGAAATCTGCAAATTTCCTGCAAAAATGCTGCATAAATGTGATTATGATAGTTCCTAACATAATTTAGATATTCCAAGCCTAACATTGGCTAAACTCAGACAAGAGGAAAACTGCTGCTGACCTTCCTTCACTTTGCTGTTATTGATTTGTAAAAGTTCATTCAAAGGTCAGAAATGCTATAAATACTCCTTTAGCAGGAAGCAACACATACATAGGCGGGGATGCTAATGCTTCAGGTCTTACAAGCTGGGAGGAAAAGGAGACATCCTGACAATTTCAAACAGACTGGATAACCCAAAAGAATTTCTCAGATGATTTAGATACAGCAATTTGCTTCCTTCTGAAGTCTCATATATCACTCCAACCCAAATTCCTGGCTGCAGCCTGCAAACGTGCCACAACATGAAATGTAAAGGTAACAAGCAAGTAAAATTAAAATAATTAAATCTAGAAAATCATTCTGTTAAAACACTCACCCAAACCTCAACAGCAATCCAGAGCAGTTTTCCTAAGGGGAAGTTACTGTTCCTTTTAAAAAACAAGAAAAACTTGCCTTGTGCTGGGACAGTGTTAATATTGCTGGAATGGCAGTTTGCATGTGCTGTGTCTGACAGCTTGGGAAATGTTTTCTGATTCAGAAATGTACTCACATCACCATTAGCAGATAGGATTTTGCAGATAAACCGATTCACTACCAAGACTCACTATCTCTTTTCTTGTGAGAATCTTCTTGACTGCCTTTAAATTTGCTTTGCAGGTTTATAACATGGGCTGAGGAACATCTGTTTTCGTTCTGAATGAATATGCAAAAAATAATAGTGAAGCTCATTCCCATTTAAATGATAACTGATGATAATTTACTTTGGCACGGAGTTGCTCCTCGTGAAAGACTCTGCACATGCTTACTGCTGTCTACTTTGCTATCCATTTATGGATTATACCCACTGACATGGAAACCTGAACACATGCAGTGCTGAGTCTGTGTCCACACTGAATCCTCAGCTCAGGGTCTGTACCTGGATCTCTATCCCTAACCTGGCTGGCATTTATACTGTTAAGCCCCAGCTCATGGGACAGGGCTCTTTTTTGGGAAGCCTGAGGTTAAGAGAGAAGCTAAGAAATGAGGGTGAATTTACCCTTTAACAGTTATTTAGCCACTTATTCACCCAGTTTCTGGTTATTCATCCAGGTTAACTGTCATCAGCTCACCACCCTGAAGACACCACCCTGCGCTGCTTCTCTGGTTGGGTGCATTATGGTGTTGGTTACTAGTCAGGTGAGGACCCACAAGTAACTCACCCAAGGACACCTCAGAGACTGCGGTATGAAAGCAACTCTAATGCCCGGAGGCCATGCCAGCTGAAGATGTGCTAGATTTAACTGCAGTGTACGTACAGCTCCCCAGTAGCCCCTTCTGCCTTCAGATCTCTCTCTTGCCAGCTTTTTACTTGTTTCCACACAAATGTAGTTAGACAAGCTATTAGAGTTGCTTCTATTTTTTTTGTTCCTTTGAACTGTGCATCAGAATAAAAACGTGGTGACTCTGTCACTGCTTGTGCCTGTACGTGCTCCCTCTTCCCACCTATGGGCAGCTCTTGTGGGCTCTCACCCATACAGGCACTTAGCACAGATAAGGCCTATGCATTTAGATCACTGAAGCCCTGGTTACCGCCTCAGGGGCTATTGTAAAACAAGTACGTTTTATGATCCACAACTATCATACACCACTCTGCAATTTAAAATAATGTCATTTCAGGCCCTGAGGGCATCGATGGAAAAGCTGGGTTATATTCCAGCTTGGCTTGCAAGCACAGTCTAATTCTAGATGGCATTTCAAGCTTCCTTGAGAAACACAAACTCTCTTTCCCAGAAGGGGACTAGGGACAGAAAAGCTCATCATTTTAGAACTGAGGCAAGTAAAATCCTTCTGGTGGTTTCCTCCTGTTGTAAAGGTAATGAGACAGGATGACATAACCTGTAGAGTTTCTATGTGGGCATGCTCTCCATGAAGAAAGCAAGTACTTACAAGCTTGCTGGAGGTAAAACTTCATACCCCCTAGGCACCATTCTGTAGGGAAGCACCCAAAATTCCTGTGTATAGACTGACCACTTTTGCTGGGTGGTTTCCAGATATTACTGTGTGTTTCATCGTCCCTGAGTTACTTCTGTGCCCTGGAAACAGCTGTGAGATCCATCTGCCTGACATGTGCACCAGTGCTTGCCAGCCTCCTGTCTGACTGGACAACTGCAGGGAAGCGTTAAGGAACAAATTATTCCCTCAGCATGTGTGCTGAAATAAAAGGTTAAGGCTTCTCAAAGGGAGTAGTGATTTTTTTGCTATCTCCCATACATATCTACCCTCGAATACGTAATAGACATTTTCATGAATTTTTACATGAAAACTATTTATACAGACGAGTTATGA